GCACGTACTGAAGTTCAGGTGCAGCTCTACAAAGTTTGGACTTATCCAGCTGCGTCTGACTTGGGTCTGGTTGCTGTGCTCAGCTCCTTCCCACTGCTGCCCTTGAGGGTGAACCTGTTGTGCCCCTGTGGCGAGATGTTCTGCTCCTGGACTAGCTGTGTGGATCTATCCTCTATACTCTCTGCATGGATTGCAGCTTCAGGGTTACACCCCAGGCGTATATGCCAGGCCTGAGCTGTGCCTGGAGGGGGCAAGGTGAAGTAGGGGGAAGAGAAGCGCTCCATCAAGGTGAAGTAGGGGGGAAGAGAAGCTCTCCCTCACACTCACCGGACCTGGGCTAGGACTGGGTCTGGGGGTTCCCGGAACGTGGCAAAATTCCTACTCAGTGGGCGGGGTGGGGGAGGTGCTTCGGGGTGGTGGGGGGTGGCCCAAGGGGGTGGGAGAGGGTCTGGCCCACTCTGCGCCTGGGCTGGGAACTGGTCCTGCCAGTGCAGGGTAGCAGGAAGCTCTCCACATACTCACCGGACCTGGGCTAGGACTGGGTCTGGGGGTTCCCGGAACGCGGCAGAAATTCCTACGGCAGAAATTCCTACTCAGTGGGCAGGGTGGGGGACGTACTGCAGAGTGATGGGGGGCGGCCCAAGGGGGTGGGAGAGGGTCTGGCCCACGCTGCGCCTGGGCTGGGCTGGCCGGCACAGGGTAGCAGGAAGCTCTCCACACACTTACCGGACCTGGGCTAGGACTGGGTCTGCTATGAACAATTTTTGCTTAAAAAAATCAATTGATATATTTCAATGTGGATATGACCACTGTATTTTTGCTTTCTGCTTCTTTTATATTGAATGTATCTATGAATTGACAGTAAGTACTGCTTCAATTTGTCATGACTACATAATATTTCGTACTTTGACTGGGTGTAGTGGGACGTGCCTGTAATCCCAGGACTTTGGGAGGCTGAGGTGAGAGGACTGCACATTTAAGCCCAGCGGGGCAACTTGGCAACATAGTGAGACTCCATCACAAAATAAGATCAAATAAGGTAGGCAGGGGGATTTAGCTCCTGTGAAGGCTCTATTCTCAGCACTATAATAAATAAATATAAAGAACAGAAGAGGGAAACGTCTCCGTGGTTTGCCTAGCAGGACAGTGGCTGACAGTGTGGATTCTAGGGCCAGACTGCTGGGAATCCTACCTGAGCTCTACCTCCTGGCATGCTGGGAAATATCTCAGAATTGGCTCTCCAAGGCCAGTTTTGCCAGGAATGATGTTTGGTATTTGTGGTTCTTCTTAATTGAATAAGAACAGGCTATGGAGACATATTTCTGCAAAGGACAAAACTTTAATTAAATACTTTAGATTATTTCTGCTACACTTATTCCACTCCAGCATTTTAGTGGGAAAAACCTGCAGGTAACACTAAACAAAGCATCATAGCTGTGTTCAAATAAAGCTTTATTTATAAAAAGGTGATGGACACAGCTTCTTCTTCTTCTTCTTCTTCTTCTTCTTCTTCTTCTTCTTCTTCTTCTTCTTCTTCTTCTTCCTTCTTTTTTTTTTTTTTTTTTTTTTTGCGGTACCAGGGATTGAACTCAGGACCCTGCACTTGCCAGGCAGGCACTTATTCCACTGAGCCATCTCCCCCGGGCCTCCCCTGGTTTGTCTTCTAAAATGCTGCTTCTTCACATTTTTGACTCCAAAAATGTGGAGAAATCATATGAAAATATTTGTTTCCATGAATGGTTTTGCCATCATTCAAGTTAGTTACCAGGAAAGAATATGGACCGAGTGCTGGATTCATTTTGTTATAAACTTTGTTGAATTTCAGCTCCAAGTTTTTTTTTTTTTTTTCCAGGTGAGCCTTGAATTCACATAGAGCCCAGTTAAGCAATGGCAACTCACAACATTAACGTGAAACCACTGCCCCAAACTGGAGCCCCGGCCCTTTTGCCTGGTGACGCTTGTCTTCGCCACGAGGCTGCATCTGCTGGCTTCTTTCAGCAGTTATTTAAAAACCACTACTCTTGCTCAATCCTCAGTATTGCAAAATAAAAATAAATAAATATGTGGCTGGGGAGATGGCTCAGTAGAATAAGTGTTTCCCTGGCAAGCTCAAGGGCCTGAGTTCAATCCCTGGTTCTGCAAAAAATAAATAAAATAAATAAA